TACTTGATATTTCAACTGGTAACTTTGTATTAACAGTACTGTCTAAGATTACCTATTAATTATCTCCTTAATGTGCTGAAACAACTTTTTGCTTAAATTCTCTTTGAGCTGCTTTTCTTCAGAATTGTTCTTTCAGTTAAACATCTGAGGTGACTAATTTCATTCCAGCAATTTTATGACATTGGCAAGTGCTTTACAGTGTTATAAGATGGTTCATGGTCTGAGAAAATACTCCTTGCCCTGCAATATTTTCTGTCTTTCAAGAAGAATATGATCCCTTGAGCACTTGTCTTTCCCATGAAGAGAATACCAAATGACTCCCTTTTTTATTTCATCTGGTGTAATTTTTTCTTTTTAAGCAACATTGAAAACACTATTAATTCATGAAACAAAGTGTACTAGAGGATGCTTAATTATAATGTATGCTTCAGGCAAGTCTCCTTATTTATATTTCTTGGCTGTGCCATGCTGACTCAGTCCACCATCTTCAGTTTTAACAGAACTGCTGCCAAAATTCCTAGACCAGGAGTGAGGATTGGCTGATTACTAGTATGAATGAAATTATGTTGATGAGTTTCTGCCCTGTAACGTAAGAATGTTGTACCAGGTCATGCTAAAAGCTGACCTAGTCCATTATCCAGTCTTGAACAGCAAGGAAGAGAAAAGATGAGGTAAAAAATATGGTAATACTTCCTTGGTATCGTGTCCCAAAAGCCAGAGATTTGTATTCAGGGACTCACTGAGCCCACAGTGGTTTCCATGGCAGAGTATCTGCTGATCACCTCACTCTGTAGTGTGGTAGAGCACCTGCTTTTATTTACGCGGAATTTTCTACCACATTTGGTGACACCTAAATCAGTATCAGGAGAGTGTCTGAACAGCTGTTCCTTGTTGATGTACTCCAGATTTTATAGACCTTTGTTATATCTCCATTAGTCATGTTTTTCAGTCATACACTGTTGAACCGTTTCGTATGCGGAAGCTCTTCCTCTCTTCTGGTCGTTTTTGTCCCTTTTCCCTGAACTTCTTTCCCTTTTCTTGTATTTGTGACTGAAGGAGGCAATTAGACTTGCACAGAATATTGAAAGTGCTTGCATGCCATAGATGTGGCACAATGATGATTTTTTTCTTCTCTTTCCTGTTAACTCCAAAAGCTTCGTTTTGTTTAAACCATTGCAGAACACTGTTGTTTTCAGACTTGCTTATTACAAACTGAAGACCTCTTTCTGGCATGTTAACAGCTACTCAAGAATTCCTCATATAAGCTTGGGACCTCATATAAGGGTTCCCCAAATTAATTACTCTGTATTATTCTACACTGAAATCCATCTGCCATATTATCATTTGGTCAGTTCATTATTGTGAGTTCATTCCTCAGCTCTTGCGGTTAAGACGTTGCATCCAGAAGATTGCTCCTGCTGTCTCCATGCAGGATGCAATAAATAGATTGTATTTCTGAATTATTCACAAATGTTCATTGTTGCCTGAAACAAAAATGATAAGGGTTAAATTTTCTAAAGTATCTATGGATATTGAATGTGCAGTAGAAGATATCTAGATGATGGAAGATAGGCATGCAACTTCTTTGGAAGCAGGAAGCCTGGAGACTTTCTCTGTGCTTTAGCTCATACTCTCACATAATTATTTGGTAATTATTTTCCTAAAAAGTTACAAGATGCTAACATAGTAGTCGTAAGAGAAGTTCAGCTATCTGACACACAAAAAAATGTTCCTACAGTACATATTAATCAGCAGCCTCACAGGTAAAAGTCTGACGAAGTCAAGAACACAGTGAACACGGATCCATGCTATTCAGTCTGGTTAGGCTCGAGATATCTCTCTCAGTGGGAAGCATACTGTGTTGAACAGACTCCCTTCTTTTTTATGTGTATAAAAAAAGTTCCACCAGTTAACCTCTTTTTTGTAGTTTGATTTGCCAAATTCTAAAGAACAGAATTAATGAATTTTGCTGATTTCCAGCAAAATTGTCATTCATGTGTTATTTTACCATTGCATACACACATATTATGAAGTATTAACTCCCAAGGTTTTATGTCCTTCTTGAACAACAATTACCTCCTTTACACAAAATGTTTCTAAAGGTTTGTAAACGTAAAACAGCCCTGAGAATTAATTATCTTATAATTGTTATTTGGTCAGTGCCTTTTTTCTTTATTGACGAGACACAGGATGAAATATATCTGAGCCATACACTTTTGAGGTTACAGTGCTTTCCTTTGATCTTTTAAAAAGTCATGAGAAAATGCTGGTCTAGTGACTGTATTAGATTTTCTTTCTGCTAAACAAACAAGAAAATCTTGCCGAGATCACATCATTCTATACACATTCAGGACCAAAACATGATAAACTAAGCAAACAAGACTTTCTTTGTTACTCTGAAAGAAACTGTTGAATTTTCAATACAGTTTCTAAACAAAATGATGGTCTCACTTGTCCTTTGTTGCAAATACCTTTTCCTGAGGTGAGGAAGAAGCTGAAGAAGTAAACTGTAGTTTATGTAATCTGTGTAAAGGACTGATATCCTGTGGCAGGATCAAAACAGAGGGAGAATAGTAATGGCCAGTAGAAACTTTTAAACAGCTGTGGAGCAGACCCAAGATAGAATGATAGGGGGTTATACAGAAAAGCTACTATCAGCTGAAAGACGATCGGTAGCGAAAGAGACCTCTTTGAGGAAAAGAAAACTATTATTCTTTTGTTTGCTTAAACTAGGTTGTGCTTGTCAGATAAAGCCATGCAGAGATTCAATTTCTTGTTTCATACAGTCTAGCAATTTTCTGTTCACAAGGTGACTCTTGCATTGGTTTCTGATTTACAATAGAAATTATTTCTTGAAACCTTTGAAATAACAGGAGTATTTTTCAAAGTGTAATTAAGTGGTTAAAAGCCTTCACAAAGGAACATTTTCTATAGTGCAGCAAATTCTTTTATTTATTGTGTTTAACTATATAGCCTGGCATAATGCGAAGAAGCTTTATTAACCCTTTTCCTCAGACTCGAACAGTTGCAGGGGGAAAAAAATGGTAACAGAACTCAAAAATCTGCCTTTTGTTTTTTTTTACCCAAGAAAGATAGTCATGTAGAGGGACAAATGATACTAGTTGCCTTGCAGCCTTAAAAAATACGAAGAGGATTAAAGTACTTTTTATATAAATGTAATTCTGTGTGTGTGTATGTACACATACATACAGATTTCCCATGATCACTCATAATACAAGTTCATTACAGATTTTTGCACAAAAGGGTACCTCTGGATCAGCTCCTTTCTTATCCTTTGGGTCCTGGCTCAGTAATGACAGTCTAGGTATTGATATTAACAGACAGACTGGTGGATGTTAGTTGGTCTGCGGTACACAGAGCAAGAACTAATGGACTACAGATCACAGATATTAGCAAAAGTTCGTTCTTCCTCATCCAAGGTGTAATACTACTTGCATGCTAAATGCAGTGACATATATTCATAAATTTCTTAAGACTTTCTTAAGACTTGAACTGTGTTTAAAAATATGTCACTCTTCTTCAGGCAGCAGATGTTATTTAATAAATACTATAAAATGAGAAATGGGAAGAAAAATAAATGGACTAAAGAAAAGGCAAGGATTTGTCATTTAATCTCGAGCAGCAAAAATTTGTGAGGAAAACCTTCGAGCAAGCAAAGGTGTATATGTTTTTATGTAACTTAAACAAAAATAAGACTAAACAATATTAAAATCCTCTCCGGTTCTATAAAAATCTTTCTGGCTCACTAGGCAGCAATAGCGACATGATGCTTGGACAATCATTGTGTAGGACTTGGATTCTCTTTATGACAGGAGGATTTAAGGAAGTAAACAGATCAAGTAGATTTTTGAGATATGGTTATGTCCACTGTCTTTAACATATTACTTGGGCTGTAATTTTCCTTTGAAATCTAATATAAGTACAAATTATCAGGATTACTGTTCCTAACAATAGAAATAATATTTATTTCTGTTAAGCCAAAGAGACAAAAACATGTTCTCAAGTACCGTGACTGAAAGTGACCAACATATAATCACTGATGTGTTGCAACTTAGATCTTGGCAGCACAGTTTGAAGTGCCACTTGAATGCTGTCTTCCCTATCATGTTCACCTTCAGCAATTGTACTTCTTTAGAACTGGCTATAAGCAGATGGTCTTTAGGTTTTAGGTTTCCCAAGCTCCAATATCTCCATTCTTGCACACCGCTTTTTGAATTAAGAAAGCTTTTATGGATAGACCTGTGTAGTCCCATAACTTTTTAGATTTTTAGATGTTTTTCCAATATAGTTATTAATTAACAGCTTGCTTTCTGGCCAACTCTTTTCACTTAATTTGTATATTTGTTTAAATAGGTACCTTTCCTTCCCGTAGTGTAATTCTCTTGCTGTGTGTATGCCAATTCTGGTACATAAATTATGTTGTTGCCATATAAGTATTTTATTTTTGAACAAGGAGGGTCTGTCAAAGCAGGCAATGACATGTCAAATATTTTTGAAAAAATTTGTTCCCTGGATGTGTTAACACAAATAATTTTTTTACAAGGAACTGATACATTTGCTGATCTCCATTTGTAAGCCATGGAACAATTGTTAACAAACAAAGGAGGAAAGTATATTTAACATTGTTGATGGAGAAACAAACCTCCTGGTCTTCTTTATTGCACTGTTGTAATACAACACTATGCAGTGAATACTACAGATGAAACTTCATTCCATGTTTGTTTCCTTGTTTAAATATCTTTCTAAATGAACAGATTTACTGCTTCTTTGTCAGACATAGAAATATCAAGAATAAGAGCACATAAAGTAGGAATGCACTGTCCTTACCCAAGTGATCATAGAAAACATTTAAAACCAAGCATCATTTACAGAAATACATATCACCTGCTTTCATTTTTATAAAACTTGAGAGGACTTTAAT